AACAAATAACCAGCAGTCCTTCTTTCCATGATTCAGTTTCTTTGTGCGCTGTTTTGCTGTGACTTAGAGATGCTGCTATAAATAGCAAACTTAGTACAAAAAAAACTGAATCTCACAAAAAAACATTCTTTAATTTTTTATTCTTAATGTCATTAAAGCAGATAGATATGTTTTTGTCTCGACTTAGCCTCCAGGGAATAAACACAGCAAAATATCATATTCATATTTATGAGCATAGATTAAGCATTAATTAAGTTTGTGCTGACTGCTGGCAAACATGTGAAATTAATTTCAGACTCATTTCCACTGAATTTATGTTAAGTGAACAATTTTGAGATGTGTTTTGATGCAAAATGACAAATCTGAATGATAGTCTATGTATTTTTGGACAGTAATTCTTCCTAATTTATTTCTATAAAATCACTTTAACCTGTTCCATTTGGTCTGCTTGTCTGCTTAAGTTTTTATGAGGCGTGGAACACCCACCTTCAGCTTTATGGTGAATATATTTTCCATCTTTGTTGGGTGTGGTGACTCACACTGGCAGTCACTGTGAGTAATGGTGGGAATGTCTCTTTCTCTAATTGATTAAAATCTTTTAAAGCCTTGTCATTGCATTTAATAAGCTCAGCAAAGTACAACCAAAAACATAAAATAATTTAGAGTAAAAAATCATCTATAATAGGTTGAAAAAAGACAGGATTTCAAATATATTTGATAAGATTTTTATATTTTGGCTTATGTTCAAGGCCGCACAGCTTTTAATTCTGGCACAAAATTTTAGGTTGAAACACATGTATCATGTCAGTGAAGCTGGAACAGACTTTTTTTTTTTTTTAAGTCAAGCTGCTTAGGAAGTAGAGACGTTTAATGGCAAATATTGAACCGAACCAGTCTGTCCAGTCATGCTAAATAAATGCACGTCCCCTTCACACACTTCCCACACTAGGAATTGTGTGAAACCGGTTACCCAAAATGCAAAGCGGTGCCCTCGGTGTCCCCTCATGTGCCAGGTTGCCACAATAAGAACAACAACTTCCCACTCTCACTTCTACAAAGCAGCCAGCATGTGATGCCTGCCCTGTCCCATGCCTCAGAGGTCAGCCTGAACCCTTACCCTCCACAGGACCCTGCCAGCCTGGAGGGCAGGCAGTTTTGATTCCTCGTTTTGGTACGAAACACTTTGAAAGACGACTGACATGTTTGTTTTGATGCGGATTTTCAGGCACATTTTACAATTCTGCAATGTCTTTTTGCCCCTTTAACAGCGGTCCGTTTAGAGGTTAAAACTCCAGCCAGGTTTAAGATGCCTCACAGTTAGTGTCGTGTTTGTGTACTAGCTGTAAATGAATTTCTGTTTCACACATCTGGGTCGTCCACAGATATTAAGGGCCATCACTGAACACATGTCAGCTCTTTGGGGTCATAAGTTCTGAAGGCAACGTAACCTTCTGTGTTCCTCTTACTGATAAATCCATCTCTCCCAGGGCACGGAGGACTTCTTCTTTCTGTATGCCAGCTGTTTCCGCACAATAACACATTTTTAATGCCCTCCTATCATATTCCAAAGACATGGCCTTTATGAAATAGCCTTAAACACAGCTGAGGTCAGATCTGAAAGCATTTCAGCTGTAAGGACAGAATTTAGATGTTTAAAAGTGCAAAAAATACATATATTTTTTAGGATTGGAATGTAATACATATCATAAACAATAATATAGTAGTAATTTACACTTAAATTAGTATTTTGTTTTGTTTTTCACAATGAAACCATCTGAGAAAACCATTCCAAAAGCTGTAGGATAAAGAAATATTTTAATGGTAGTTTCAACCCATAAACTACAACAATACAGAACAACAGCTGTATAAGATCAACAACATTTAGAATTAAATAACCACTAAAACAAAAAAAAGAGAGACATCTATTTCACTCTAAATCATTTATCTATTTTGGCGATAAATGAAACTTGACCAAATTCACATTGAGATGTGCAGAAATTTTAAATGTGATGAAACAGAGGGACTTCTCAATTAGATGAAAGCAAAAGTTGCTGAAACATCCAGTGAAAATAAGTTCATATGGCATTTTTGAGGAAGCAGATCAGGTCTATTTAAACTTCTAAAATATGCTCTGATTCATCCTTGTGATCGTATATATATGTATTATACAGTGGTCTCTGGTGAGTGGTCTGTGCAGCCTGCACACACACTTCAGACACACAACTAAACCACATTTGAACACAGAGACATCCTGGGGGGAGGGAGCAGCCCACGGACTTCCAAAATGACAAAGAATTGAAAAGCGCAAGTTTGTCGATGAACCTCAAATAAAATGAACTGACAATTGTGACATGTGACATTGGCCGAAAAGTTCGACTGTTTGACAGACTGCAAATAGAGGCTGATGGGCTGATAGGCGCCGTCTTTGAGCAGAAAGAATACACCTAGGGCACAAAAAGCCCCAAAATAATCGTTTCGACAGACAGGTATCTTTATGCCAAAAGGCAAAAAGGTGAGTTATGAAATGAGTGCGGCAAAATCTCTGTGATGCTCATTCGTTATGTTCCTTTATGACAACTGAGGGTTAAAAGCTCAATTTTGGTGGCAATTTGCTCCTTCAGGTCCTGAACTAAATGATGGAAAGACGGGAGAGGCCGCATCTTTTGGCACAATTTGCACCTTGGAGCCTGCAGAGCGCTCATCCAGACTTGGTCAGAATGTAAAGACTTTGGTCCATTAGCCAGTCCTGTCAAAATGAGCTTCTGCGGCACTGATAGGCTCCACAGCCACAAAATGTAATCACCGAAATTGGATTTTGAGAGGCGAGAAATGAGCGCATCATAATTCTGAATGATTATCTCGGCAGGTGCGGTGGTGGTCCGCGACTGGGAAAAGCTTTTTTTTTTTTTTCCTTCCACGAAAATTGCAAGTGTTAGTGCTCTTTTACGAGCACGTACTCTGTCCATCTCAGTCCCGGGAGAGCAGGTGTAGAGGGGGATCGAATCTCAAGAAAGCATTCCAAGCACCAAAACAAATTGGACCTTCTGCTTTATGTGACGTCTGCTGTTCAAACTCCAGCAAACAGCCTTTGTTGTTAGCTTGTTTCTGCCTTGTGGTTCCGTGATTAACCTGCTGCTAAACCATGCTGTGCACAGGTTTGTTTTTATCAAGATGTTAGATTGTTAATATCAAAATCCCTGCTGTGCCATAACAAGTCCAAACAAATATGCCAGCATAAAAATATGGATCCTCTCTGATAACAAAAAGAAGATCTCAACATTATAGTGTCACCCAGATGGCAGCTTTGGAATAGAATTTAAAACTGCATCATTTAAAACACTAATTGATGTGGTGTTCGGGTTTTGTTAAGCCCCTAAGTATTGAAATGAAATGAAATGAAATGAAATTTATTCGAACATGATACAAATATAAAAATAAAATAGTGCACAGTAGCAAGACGTGCATCAGAAAGAAGAGAAAATACAGATTTTTAGTTTCAGTTAACATATTATGCTCAAAATGGGGTAGGAAGAAGTGAGAACTTACAAACTCCTACCCCTAAACACTTGAGACTAAAGTCCTACTGTCATTAAAAAAAAAAAAAAATCTAAATCAAAGTGGCAGTCAGAAGTAACAGTTACTAAAATTTACCTATACATTTTCCCATTTTATGCTGTTTATCTTTCTAAACCCTTACACCAAGTTGTTATCTTCAATACCCACCTTATTGCTTTCTGTCCCCATGTGTGTATCTATTGAAAATTACCTCTTTGTACTTCCTTTTGAATTGTGTTAAACTATTGCTTTCTTTTAAATCTTCATGTAACGTATTCCATAACTTTACACCTTTAATTGAAATACAGAAGCTTTTTCTTGTTGTTCTAAAATTGCGGATCTTGAAGTTTGAGTGACCCCTTAAGTTATACCCCCCTTCTCTTTCAGAAAACGTGCTCTGTATATGCTCAGGTAACAACCTTTTTAGATACCTTGAACATAAATTGAGCCATTTTAAATTCTACAAGCTCGTCAAATTTGAGAATTCTGGATATTATGAAGAGCGGGTTTGTATGCTCATAATAACCGACATTATGGATGATTCTAATGGCTCGTTTCTGTAGGACGGTTACCGGATGTAAAGAGCTCTTGTAATTAACTCCCCACACTTCACAGCAATATGATAGATATGGTAAAATCAGAGAGTTATATAGAATATAAAGTGATTTAGCATTCAATACATGTCTAGCTCTAGCCAATATGGATATACTTCTACTGAGTTTACTCTGTAAATGTTGAATATGAGGTTTCCAACTGATTTTGTCATCTATTATTAAACCGAGGAACTTATTAGCAAAAACCCTTTCTAGAGTTACGTCCTCTATTTGAACTTGGATTTAAGTATTTTTATAACAGTTCCCAA